GTTCATATTGTCTTCTGTTGGTAATATGAATAACAGGGCTGCGTTGATTAGAGTGAATAATTGATTCAAAAGATTTGACGAATTTAAAATAAACAGGACTGACCTTAAAAAATGTCATTTGAGTGGGATCCTGAACTCAAAATAATACTTTTGAACCACATTTTCAACAATTAGCTTTACATATGTTTTCAGAACAGGTGCCATTTACACAAAAACTGTTCAAGCATGCTGTGCATAGATTATTTTCACATGGGTTGGGCTGCAACTGTAGAATGGGCCCTTGTGTTCAGTGGTGTACAATTATTTGCCTACATCCTTGCATAAAATCAATTACTTTCACTTCCATTATCCTAAACCTATTCTAACTCTAATCTAAGTCTTATTACCCAACAAGTACACACACATACACTGCTGTGAACTATACTTACAGGGTCTTCAGGCCACTGAGGCCTCTGAACATGCGTCCCTGCAGTCCAGTCAGCTTGTTCCCCGTTAGCAGCAGCTCCAAAACTCCACCTGCTCCATCAAACGCCCCTTCGCGGATGTCTTTCAGTTTGTTGTTGCTCAGGTTGCTGCAGGAGAGATCACACAACATTCATAGCATTTTTACTTTTGTATTTAGATATTTTACCTGTGCATGTTTGCTTTAGCCATCATGCATGTTTTTCTAACACAACCGACAGGAGCAACAAGATAATGGAAATGCAGGCGCGCAGACATGCATGCAAAGCATTCCCAGTTTAATTGCAGTAATTAATCATGTCCCTTCAACTAATAAATGTTAACCTTCTTTTCTTTCATCTTAATATCCTTCTCTTAGACATTAGATGTTCAGATAACAGAGCCTGCCATCACTAGATCTGATAAAAAACACCAAGCGTGTTCAAATAAAACTAGAAGAACAAAGTGGTACAAACCAGTTAAAAACGGCTCCTTTCTCTCTTTCATGGACACAATAAGAGAAATGAAAAGGATGAGTGCTTGGCCTCAAAGACAATAATTGGGGATGATAGCTATCACACATACTCTAGCCTTCATTCATAGGTCAATTGTGTTTCCTATTATCGGGTTTACTGAAGATGAGAGAAGGTGGAGGATGAGACTGGAAAGACGGGTTTAAAATAACGTATAAAATAAAAACAAAGAAATGTGATAGCAAATTAAGGATGAGAGAAAATGTGAGGAAAGGTGAGGAGAAGCGAGGAAAGGAGAATAGGAGGAAGGAATTGAGAGAAGGAAAATGGAAATGAGAGCTCGCCAATCTATATTGTCAGTGACACTGCTAGATGGTTAGCAATTTCCTCTCCAATAAATCAACTTCTGGTCTCTGCTCTGTCTTTCTCTATCTCTCCCTAACACACACACACACACACACACACACACAC